CTGTTGTTGCCAAAGTAAGGATTACCATGTTTAATTAAATGCTATCACGCTGCTATCAGATTTAGACAAACGATAATTAATTGTTTCTTCCCTTACAAGGTGATTTTTTAAATCTGTTTTGAAGGTTTTTGTTTTTTTTTTGGGATAAGCAAAGAATTGTGTGAAATATTCATTTTCTCTTTATTTTTCAAGAAGTTATAGCCGAATCTAATAATAATTTATGTCACCATTTTATATTTTTAAATGTTCAAGTTTGAGTGCCCTCAAACTAGTTTCTAGACTAGTTTCCAGCGACGATCGGGACTCGTAATTACTAAGGCACCACATTCGTTTAGTTTTTTATCTTTACAAATAGATCTCAAATACATGTTATTTAATCATTTCTGTTAATATTCTCTTATTATATATTCTCTCTTCTATAATTTAAAATACATAAACATAAACTTTGATATATATACAGACCTTCTTTTATCAAACAAAGAAGCACGAGTCTTTTACCTCCCAATCACAATCATTACGAACTCTTACAAAGTTGAACGCACTAAAGGCTCTTTCTCAAAGTGAACAAAACTTTATGGCGTGATGCTCTTAGCGGAGCGGGCAGTAAGCTGTACCCGTAGCATTCATTGTGACATTGACCCGACTTCAAACGCTAAAACACGGTAAAAAGGTAGTTGCCTCGTATGCTCCAAGATTATACTACGTAATGGAAATACTTTCGTTAAGTGAAAGTTATAAAGGTGCTCAAGAAACCACTTCTTTTGATGACCAGGTGTAGCTGGAAGAGAATAAGAAATATACGGTATTTATTATAGAAAGTGGTTTGATTTAACAGTTGTCTATCTTTTTAAAGATGTCTTATATTTACTTTGGAATGGAAATACAAAGTTAAGTAAAGATAATTGAACAGAATCATATTTCAAAAAAAATATTAAATTGTATAACTGGTGCCGAAGCCGTACATCGATAAAGCCCTAAAATGCCGCCAACAGGCGAACACAATTACGAACATTACGCGTCAATCACAAGCAAAAGTTTCCTTCAAAAACCTCCGCGGGAGTTTCGCGCAATCACAAACATTGAAAGAGGCGTCGTCATAGCAACGGACCGTTCTATGCGCAGTCGCGTCCACAGCAAACTCCGCCCCTACGACAGCCTGTTGCTTGCCGTATCTGCCGGACGCCAGTTACCTTTCAGCATTCATGGACCCACATCCAAAACAATATCAATCCGGTAAACACTAAAATCACCGTCAATAAAGCTCAAAGTTCTATGACAAAAATATGGTTTAAAAATTAATCAAGTCAATTTTGAATGTGCTATTATTCTTGAACTTTAAAACTTGTACGAGAAGTTTACCAGGCTGTCCCGTTTCTGCTCACGTGCCTGCGTGCCTGCGTCTCGCTCGCGCGTTCATGAAGGCCTGCGAAATCAGGTATCTAAATGACATTATGTTGAAATGAAAATCCCGACGAAATAGGGAATGCGTAACGAGATTTGTTAAATGTTGTCTGTCCCTGTACATTTGTATTTTTTCCGTCTAAATGTTGCAGAGGATTTTGCTCTGATCGGATTGATGTTCGGCAAAAACGAAAATTTTGTTTACATTAGTAATTGTGTTTATTTTCATCGTATAATGACATGACTGAGTTGTTTTCTCTTCCAAGATTATTCTGGAGAAAATAACATTGTTTTTCTTTTAGAACAGCTGCAAATAACTCGCAAACTAATACTTACTATTTATATATTACCTTATCCATTTTCCAACAATTTCAAACACTTTCATAATATCTTCACATGTGCGTCTAATGTATACTATTTCATAACAAACGCAGAAGAAACGTGTTCCGCTGGAAATTTTAGTTCTAAAAATTGCTACGGTGTGGCGTTAGTAGGCCACTTCGTTCACGCAGTATTGGAACTATCGAAACACTGCGGCCTAAAAATCTATGAACTATCGCCCAAAATAATTTTAGAAGTCTTTTAAAATAATATAGAATACTAATAATAATTGAATAAGTATTAAATTGTTGTTAAATGAAATACATGTGATAAACTTAGGATTCCATTAAAATCGGTTATTGAATTCGTCGGATCCAAATTGCCTATTTGCTGCGTTGATAGGATTATACTCATTTAACAATTCACAGACATGTTAAATTGTACATGTAACACATTCTCATGTCACTGTGTATTCTAATGAATAGTTATCGTGTTGTGATGACTCAGTCTACAATGAGCATAAAGATATGAATTTTAACATCTATAATTTCATTATAGTAACTGGATTTCGAACGTTTATTAATGTTCCACAATTTTTGTCCTATTAGGTATTACTATAATTATTTCCGCGTTTAATCAATCAGTATGTTTTTATTCACTTTCATATTAATCATCTTTACCGTTATTTATTACTATTACGTCACAATTACTGTAACAGTATGTGTAGAGCTAAATTGAGTAATGATGGTTTTAAATAAGACATACTCAACAGGCATATACATAAATTACCTATAGAGCACTAAAAATGCCATGCACTACTTATGTTATACTTACACACATACATAACTTACGCTTGTTTCCCATGGGCATAGGCAGAGAGAGATACTTACATACCTCTTTCGCTTCCTCAACATTAACGTCATTTAATGCGTGCTGAGACGTTACTTTTCAAATTTATTACATATTAATATTAAAAATATTTGTCAACCATTACGCTTCCTGTTTGTGTTTTAAGAGCTGACTGTCGGACTACATGTTTAAAAGAGACCGGACAGCAACACTTTTTAGAAATCTTCAATTTACCTGTACAACGCGGAGATTATGACAATCTTCTATCGTAGAGGACGCTTATACTTCATAGTGTCATGGGCTGTTGATGATACTACATCACACGTATCGCTCATGTAGTAGTAGCTGATATCTGACGGTTAATCCATGCCGATTCGATGTCGCGGTGACCCACACGTTAAAGACACGTGCTTCTCATGCATGAGGGCGCGGGTCGGAACCTACCAACTTTTTCCGAGTTATATGTACTTTCTAAAATTATTTTGACACGACTGACAAACGGTGAACGAAAACATCGTGAGGAAACCCGTGCTGATAATTTCTAATTATAAGTTTGCAATCGCCAACCTGCATTGAGCAGGCGTGGTGATTATTGCTCAAACCTTCCCATGTGAGAAGATGCCTTTGGTCAGCAGTGATCAATTATAGGCTGTTGGTGTGAAGATGTGAATATCATCAATCAAACTGTAGGAACCCCAATTCGTGGTAGATGTTCAACCCACGAAGCGCTTCGCTTCAAGCTTCCTTGTACGTACTACTAAAGAGTGGAATTCTTTGCCAGAGTCTGTATTTCCTGAAGGGTATAACCTGGCAGTCTTCAAGGCCCGAGAGAATAGATTGCTTATGGGACGACGTGCTCCATCGTAGACCGCATCATTGCTTACTACCAGGCGAGACAGTGGTCAAACGTCGGCCCATCAAATATAAAAAAAAAAATTACACTAACACAGTCGTTATCGATCGACAATTTCATTAAAGTAAAACCAACCAAATTGGCTATTGTTGTTTCATCTACACACAACAGAGCAACGCCTCAAGGCGATCAGGCAACACCTAATAAGAACAATATAAGCTCCTTACAATATGAGACAGAGAAAATTACGCCATCCGTCTGCCTTGTACATGCAAATTAGAATGTTCGCGGACACATATAAATCGCCTCGTTCAGTGCCTTAGAACTTCAAAGTACTGTTACATCTATTATAAGCCCTTTGTAATTTACTTGCCAAATAATTGAAAATTATTTGCGTTTATTTTGATTGTTTGTTTCGTGTTGTTATGAGCTATTGTGGTTGGCTATTTAACCGAATTTTTTTGGCATTATGTAGTCAGGTTAATCAAGGATAGCTTTTTTTTTCGGAAAACTGAATACTGTTGAAGTAAAATAGTTCTTATAAGTACTATACTTTGTACAATAAAATAAAGAATCCTAATAGTCAATTCCCAGTTATAATGACAACTATGATATTATTATTGAAACCCAAGGACATAAAGTCTACAAGAAAAAATGTACTGTAAAATTTACAGCTTACTTATAAAGATAAAAGATAAGCGAACATAATATTCCCATGCTTACAATAATGAAGTGAAAATCAGTATCTTTGGTAAAAGAAAGTTCTGGCAACACGCCAGCAACAGTCTAAGATGACAAAGAAGATACACGAGTAATGTTGGGTAATTCAATATATCACCAACAAAGAGGTTCACTACTACACAATTTGATTACATCCCAACAAAATTAATACTAAGGCCGCATTAGACAACCCTAACTTTTATGACAAATCGTGTTCTGATTAATCCAAAATACTTATAAGAAGGCTGTAATCCGAATAGACACGGATTGTTCCGAAAGCCTGTCCAAACAATGTCAAACAAGTTCGTCGAAGTGTTTCAATCAAACGGTCCACAGTTTCTGACAATTAATTAAAATCTGAATGGGACTGTAACAAAGTACAATACAAATTGTATCGATTTACCAAAACTTGTTGAGGTAGACATTAATATAATACGAATTTTGTTCGGTGTATTATGTTCCTAGGTTGTTATTGTTGGCAGCTTTCTTGTTATTGTTTCATTCGCAAGAAGTGTGGCGAACTGTGTAAGTCTAATTCTTACTTTGTTTGTTAGCAATACATAGTTCATTGGTAAAAACGTTTGAACGTTAATTTTTCAAACGTAAATAATATCATTAGATTCACGAAGTATTTGACAGGCGCGTTCCAGGTCACGAGTGCTAAAATTACAACATATTTAGCATAAAACGCCATCTGTCGTGGAGGAACCGAAACATCTTCCCTTTGGAGTTGTAACCATAGCGCGTTCCAGACTCTCAATACTACATTTTGAAACATAATACAACGCCATCTAGCGCCAAATAGTCAAATAAATTAAAATAATATCGAATAAAAGTTTCAAAAACTGACCACAAGATGGTACTGTGTGCTGGTTGTGAACAAAAAATCGAAAGTAGACAATATCTTACTTGCTCCTTTTGTAAGAAATACTATGACACAAAATGTGCCAATCTCCAGGAAGATCAATATTTGCGTATGAACTCTCAAACTAAATTGCTGTGGGAATGTCCGGAATGTAAGTGTAAAAAACCAAAGAATATCAATGCAAATACACCTATCAGACAGCAAACCGGTGACATCACACTCAATTGTACACCAGACGCAAATGTTACTCTCCGGCGTAAACAAAGCCAAAACAATGCCTCAATATATTTCGAAGAGACAAGTCCTCTCGGCAATACGTTATGCCAATATAAAAATATTGAAAGCGGATCACAATCTACATTAACCCTACAAAATTTGAGTGAACTAATATCAGAGAAACTTAAAGAAAACAACATGGCTATAATATCTGAATTAAGAAGTACTATACAAATGGAAATAAATAAAGCTATCTCAAAACTAAAAGAAGACTTTAAGCAAGATACAGATGCATTGCTACAAAAAAATGAAGACCGAAGGGCGGAAATAAATAAAATAAATGATAAAATAGAGATGCTACAAAGAGAAAATATTAAGTTACAGAATGAAATAAAAAGTATACAATACAAAACATCAGCTGGTACTGGTACTGGGAAACATTATAACCAAGAAACAAACGCAAAGAAATTTGTAATTTACGGTCTGAGAGAAATTTATAAGGAATCAGAAAATGAACTTTATGATAGGATCTGCAACCTGTTCTGGGATATTCTGGGAGTGGATCTGTCGGGATTCATAGAAGAAACATTTAGAATTGGAAGATATAACAGAGTAAATAGACCTTTAGTAGTGGAATTGATGAGTAAAAGAACAACTAAATATATATGTGAAAATAGCCGTTATTTCCAGGGAACTGGTATAACTGTTTCTGAATTCCTTGATGAAGATGCACGAAAGCAAAGAAAACAATTACGAGACAGAATGTTAATAGCTAGGAACAAGGGACAACATGCAATAATTCGAAATAATAAATTGTACATTGAAGGAGAACTAATCATCGAAGACCGTGAGAATGGAACAAGACAACATCCCTCATCTACGCAGCCTCAGATAACCCCCACCAGAATAGAACTACATAACGGAAACTCATACGGGAAGAGTGAATTAATGGACGATGACCAGTTAGTTCGGCGGAGCAGTGAGTCCTATACTTTTCGTACACACAACACAAAAATGTAAAATTCTGTTCCAAAACATGCAAAGTCTATATAATAAACAACACCTAATTGAAGCATTCGTAGGGCAAAATAAAACGTATCAAGCATTATGCATTACTGAAACTTGGCTCACAAGGGAAAAACTCAGCGTCATCAACATTACTGGATACCAGATAGTGGCTTCTTACTGCCGGCAAAATCGCACAGGCGGCGGAGTTTGCATCCTACTTCAAGAACACATAGACTACATCGACCGAAAGGAAGTCTCAGACATGTCTATTGAATATGTCTTGGAAGTCTGTGCAATCCAAATTGTTAAAGACAATATACTACTAGTGGTTATGTACTGGAATAGAAGAGAGGAAGAAATATTTAATAGTCAATTAAATAAAATATTAACTTATATAAATAACAAATATTCGAAATTAAATATAGTTCTAGGCGGGGATTTCAATATAGACATGTTAATAAATAACCCAAAAAGAAATAAATTCTTGGACCTTATGTTGGAATATAAGTACACACAACATATAAAGCACCCTACACATATAACACCATCAACTTCAACTTGCTTAGATTTAATATTTACAAACTTCAAGAATAATAATAAAAAAATATTTGCACTGGTAGACGATTTGGGATTTTCCGATCATTGTGGTACTATTATACACTTCGAAACGCAACAAAGCCCAAAAGTAAACACTTGGTACATTAAAAAACGAATATATAACAAAACAAACATTGATGCTTTCAAATCTGCTTTAAAATCAGTCAATTGGCGAGATATATTAATAGAAAAACATAATGTAAACGAGAACTATGGCACTTTCAGTGATCTTCTATCCTCTATGTTAAATGAATTCATACCAAAAGTAACAAGCAAACTAAAAACTAATTATAAAAAGTACTGGTTAACACGGGGTATAAGAGTCTCATGCAAAAATAAAAGACTACTGAAAATATTAAGTATAAAATCGAACAATCCAATAATTAAAAATCATTATCAAAAATACGCAAAACAACTGAAACATCTAATTATTGTATCAAAAAAATTACAACATATTAATAAGATTAAAAAAGCCCAAAACAAAGTTAAAGCTATGTGGAGTATAGTAAACGAACGCACTAATAAAAACAAATGTTTGGAAAAATATAATATTCAATTAGAAATCGACAATACATTACTATCGGACCCAAAGCGGATTGCAAACAATTTTAATACCTTCTTCGCCTCAATAGGCGAACAGAGCACTCGCGCGGGATATGTAGCAGAGGGCCTACCCGTGATGCATCCTACGGAAAATACTTTTTACCTTAGACCCATAGATATTCAGGAAACACGTAGAATAATTCAGACCCTAAAAAATAAGAATAGTCACGGTATAGATGAGCTGCCCCCTTCCTTGATAAGAGTCTGTGCTGAGGAACTTGCTGTACCCCTTTGCGTGCTGATAAACCAGTCCTTTGACGAAGGTATATATCCCAGTTTACTTAAAAAAGCCATCATAAAGCCAATATTTAAAAAAAATTCAAAGACCGATCCTAATAATTACAGGCCCATTTCGCTTCTACCGACATTTTCAAAAGTTTTTGAAAAAGCAATGTGTGTTAGGGTTTACAGCTTTTGTGAAAGATACAACGTCTTTAACGACAGTCAGAATGGGTTTCGTAAGCATCGATCTACAACTCTGGCTGTCTATAAATACATACAAGAAGTATTAAATATTCTCAATAATAAAAGGTACGCCGTAGGAATTCTTCTAGACATGACAAAAGCATATGACAAAGTGCAATTTAATATTTTATTAGATAAATTATACGGGATTGGGATACGTGGAACTGCACATGAGTGGTTTGCATCATATTTAAAAAACAGGGAACAGTACGTGGAAGTTCAACATTTTAATTTCAATACAAAACAAATAACGAACGTAAGATCGGACATGAAGTCTATAAACGCATCGATTCCCCAAGGCAGTGTCATTGGATGTCTCTTATTTTTGATATACATCAATGACCTCCCAAAAATCATGGATGAGCCGTGTGTACTGTTCGCAGATGATATTTCTCTTCTTACCTCCTGCAACGATAACACCAACTTAAATGAAAAACTAGACTTTATATTAAATAAAACAATACAATGGATGGATAAACACAATCTAGAAATAAACTACAAAAAAACCAAACTTATGACATTCCATCCATACCAAAAACCTCCACTATCCGTGAACTACACAATAAACGGGACTAACATTGATGTCGAAAATTCTTTTACGCTATTGGGACTTACTATTGACACACATGTATCTTGGAAAACCCACATCCAAAATATAAAAACCAAAATCTCAAAATTTTGTTATGCATTTCGAGAAGTAACGAGGACTACTGATCTCCATACATCACTAATCACTTATTACGCATACGCACACTCGTGGTTCAGCTATGGTATTATCGTGTGGGGTAATAGTACGGACGCACCAGCACTTTTTGTAATGCAAAAAAAACTAATTCGCATACTTACGAACATTGAACAGACTGATAGCTGCAAGCCTCTATTTATAAAACATAAAATATTAACTCTCCCTTGCATATACATCTTGGAGGTGTGTAAATTCGTCAGGAAATATAACGGGTTCTTTATAAAGCGTGGAGACAAAAACACTGATCGCGCCGTTAGACATAAAAATATGTTAATGCTACCCACATCTCGTATTACACTACATTCAAACGGCACATATGTAATGGCAATAAAAATCTATAACAAGATACCTGAATCATTAAAAGCCGAGATGAGTGACAAAAAATTCATTAATAAAATAAAAAATATATTGGTTGAAACGGCTTATTACACCCTGAACGAATACATGAGTGATAAATACATAATATGTACACAAGACTGAATATAACTAAACAACTAACTATTTAACAATATTCCATAGTATTAATTATATCACGGGTTTACGAATTTACTGTAACGTTATGTAGTTGTTTGTATTGTTATGTAGTGTTAATGATCTCATGTAGAATAATAAAATGATAAGTATTGGAGTGCAATATTAAATTGGTATGTAAGTGGTTATTGTAGTATTTGATAATGTTTTTGTGCCATATTAAGGTAATAAGTTAATTTTAATTTAAATTTTAATTATAATTTAATTTTAATTTTAATTTAATTTTTTTAATTTTAATTTAATTTTAATTTAATTTTTTTAATTTTAATTTGATTTTTTTAATTTTAATTTATTTTTTTTAATTTTAATTTAATTTTTTTAATTGAATTTTTTTTTTTAACTTTTAAACAAATTATTAAAAATAGTTGTATAAGATTTGAAATAATTAAATTATTGCATTAATTAAAAATATTATTTTGTAAGTAGAGTAAGTACTTTTGCGGTGCCCAAATGGGCCTATAGTTGGAACATATTTTGTCATAAATTGTAAACAACCCTGTAGACACTATAGATGCATTAAAGTGATTTGAATTTGAATTTGAATTTGAATTTGAATTTGTTAGTTCATATTTGTGTTATTCATTGTTGTCTAATTTTAGAAAACCAGGATATAAAGGATATACTGTCCATTACTGGGAGTTTCGTTACTGTCCAAAACGCAAAAAGTCACCGTCGTTTCAATCTTGGTTATAGACATTATAGCTATATTATAGTTTCATTTTGTTCCTTTGACACCTCCAAGACCTCTCAAACTCAACCAAACTTAACTACATAATTCCTAGCCTTCCCTCATGTAATCCTAGACCCTACTTGTCGAAACTCTTCAGCAGTTCAAAGGCAGCATTGGTGCAGCCATGTAATCTGGCAAGTTTAATTCGAGTGCGAGTGTGAATAAAAGCAGGTCCCATCCTCACATTGTGGAATGGCAAAAGTTAGCTTGTTTATTCTCACTTTAGAGGTACTACGGCACGCAAATGTTAGGTGTGAAATACCGGCTGACTTATTGCTTTAAAGCGGTGCCGAGAATGGGATGTTATTGTGTACTTTTAAAACTTTTTTAAACGTATTGTGAGCTGTAGTATATTGTTCGTCGCGTCGGTATCAAAAAGTTTTTATTTATAAGCAGCATTGGGATTTTTGGTTAAGAACAATGCAATAAACGGTATGCGTCTGCGTAATCGTTTGAAACTAATTTTTTATGTTTGCAAATTAGTGTGTCTGGGAATTTCGTTTCTCTTAATTGGCAATTTGAAAGCAGCCCTCAGCAATCAATAAATCACTTTGTACAAAATTAAATCAACTCCGAAAAGGAATTTATATTAACAACATTTGCATGGAAACTATTTAAACTCCTCGAACATCTTGTTCGGATTGAAAGCGTTCCTTAATGGTTTCCAAACCGAAATTTGATTTGTGAGACTACTGACTTACCGAAGGCTTTCGCAAGGAAATCAATTTGGCCCACAACTATGTCACGATCGCAACACGGTTGCAGATTCTGCAATCAAACTAATGAGATGAGTTCTGGCCTAATCCCTGTTACAGCCTTATTGACGGACCCGGGACCCGAAACTTGCACAATCTCGAGACCCCTCTACTAGAACGTAGTTCCAAAATAGTTGTATACCTATTTCATTATGGTGATTATTTCCATAGTCATATGATTATACCTTTAACGTTCCTAATATTAGTATTACTCACAAAAGTATGGATTGTTTATAAGTAGTTGTAGTTCAAATCAACCTAACCATCTTTTAAATATTCATATCATTTGACTTCATTTGTAGTTCATTAATAACTTCATTGACGTCTTTTGAAGTGGAATTCAGTCTTAATATGCAATTATTATCAATGTAATTTGTAGTCAGCTATCCATACTCCATGCAATAGTATAATCTCCTGTGAAATTGCAATGGGCAATGAAAGATTACCTTAATGAAGTTTGGATTTGAGCATAACTGATTGATTGCGGGATAAATTAACAAGTTTTGATGTTAACAAGCCCATGTTATTAATTTAGAATGAATTAATTGTGATTTAGATTTGATGAATGTGCAGTCTATAATTACTT